GCAAAACTGTCTCAAAACTGAAAAAAAACCCAAAGGCCTCATGATCTGGAGAATATTTTAAGGAATTTTTGGCGAAAACTGCATATCGATCGATACAGCGATTAAAAAGCCGTTTGAATAGCAAAATTCGGCCATCACAACTAGATAATAGATGTCTGTTATTTTGCTTGCTGGTTTTAATAATACCATTGTTTTCGTTTTCTTAGTATTCCTGTCAATGTGTACTTATTGCTAATCTCTTTCAGTATTTTCCCATTTTTTATAGAGATTTTTGTTCCTGTTTGCAAGCAGATTTTATGTCAGTACTGGGCATTATGCTTTACTTTGTTTAACGTTTTCTTTTCTGAATCTTTTTCTTATGTAATACAGTTGATATTTATCAACATCCCCAGGGCTTTCCCAGATACATATTCTTGTTGATGGATGTTGGAAGAAAGTGTTTGCTATCATTAGATTCTTCTCCTCACTAAAGTCAGGGAGTCTTTCTCCTTTTGTTTCGTTGTCCTGGCCCTTAGTTGTCAAGGACTTCTTCGCATTGTCCCTTTCCCACTTTGACATTTCAGGTTACCCATTATGACAACCTGGAGAAGAATCACAGACATCGATGTACAGAAAAGTGGGAAGACATGGTATAACATCAAGAGGCTAGTCCAGGATAGAGAAAGGTGGAAGGTGTTTGTCCGTGGCCTATACCCTGATGCACGGTGAGAAAGGCAATGATGATTATGACAAGCTTTTCATTTGATTTTATTTCTTTCACGATAACATCAGTACTTCACAGTATTCTTCACTCTTTTCATCTTTGCAGTTGGGGGCTGGTAGAGACACTTTAGGAATATCAGAGACGAGTTGTACCGAAAGAGGTGTACTAAATAAAAACACCGTCATCTTTATAGATTGGGAAGACAGTCAACATGTATACGGAACAGGGCTATTGCTGGAAGAAAGGTTAACCAGATTATCTAAACTTCCTGGCGTGGAGTGCTCTCACATTCAATGTTCTGATTTTAGACATGTCCTTCCAGTCTTTGGATGACTGCGTTTAGCTGGTGGCTACCGTCACTGTAGCCCCCCCCCCCTTCCCGAGTGCAGTAGCTTGTCGTTGTTATCCTTAGTCTTCCTCGGTGATGTAGAACTAAATTCTTCCCAGTTCGACTTTACAACAAACAGCGGACCGTCAGGGGTTCCCGAGGTGTCTGTATGGCAATTTTTTCCCTTTATTTCTGCGTTATTGCATTACTGTGGGACCATGCATGGCACGTCCTCTCTCTTCTTCACAATAGCGGGCCACAATCGTCTTTTGTATCTTGATGTGCCCTAATGTGCCACACACCTGGCTATCGTGCCCCGAGACCATTCAAATACCTATCATTTGTCCTCTCGTAGTGTGCACTGAAGCTGCTACTAATCGACTCGACTCGACCTGACACGACACGACACGACCGACCGGATCCACACAGGGCGCCCAGTATAGCACACAGTGGAGACTGTCACAACATTTTTGTCTGTCCCCATGCTGAACTCGGACCAAGGTCAGGGATTTGCTAATGGTTGCAGTTTTATTGCTGCGATAAAGTTTGGCCGGGTTTGCACCCGTCGTTTAACCAAATAAACGGGTCCTTTTTGTTTTCGTAAGTGTTTAACGGCGCTCGCAAATACATAAGGTTATATTATGAGCGCACGGAACACACTACACATTTCTAGTTTTGATAGGAAGTCTTTTTGAATTTTGCCCGGGTGGCGGCCGAAGTCTACTCTTATCGATATAAGGCCACCAAGGGACCTTTAACATGCGCAGCTTACACGCAGGACCTCTTTGATTTTTTGCACTGATCCGAAAAGGCTAGGTGTTAGATCTTAACTGCCCTAATATCAAGGGAGGGGCAGAAAAAACAGTCGTTAGATGGAGCCAAGGAGAAGCAGTAGAAAAGCTGCAGAAAGAATCAGGAGCCCATAGGAGGGGGCAAAGGAGGAGAGGGGGTGTGGGCAGAAAGTGGAGTCTAAAGCAGACGAGAGAACATTATTATAGAGCAGGAAAGGATGTGAGAAGAGAACATTTTAGAGAAGAAGAACATTCTACGTCGCTGCCAGGTTTCGAACCCAGGACCTATTGAATGAGAGGCGGGCACAATAACCAGAGCCCCTTAAACGGGTCCAGAGATACAGCCATAGAATGCAAATTCAGAAAGTCAACACCGCCGACTATCAGTCTGCACGCCTTCTATCTCTCCAAAACATCTCTATGGACAGAGAGACAACTTATCACTTCATTACTTTATACAAACACAATGCTCACTTAAAACGACACCAGACCATTGTGAAGGAGGTGTTTGAAAGAAGGATGTGGCGCAGAAGAGCCAGGGGGAGACAAAGTGACTTGTATGGGCAAGGGGCAAACATTGACTGGCCTGGATATGGTAAAGTGTTCAATGACACCTCCAGGTATCCAGGAAATGGGTCACTTTTCCCATAAAACTACGACAGCTGCAGATTTGAAAGTTGGCAAGTATCTGCAATAAGATAGATAGGTCCCTATCACGGACACGATTTTGTATTTATTCTTTTCCAGAATTTAGAAAAATATGTTTGACAAAAAGTTCTCGTCCTTCTTTTGCCTTTGTGATTATTCCACTAAGAAACGAAACAAATCTGCGTTGCTGTCCTCCACTGCGGAAGTGCCGGAAGTGATATTTCGCCAGACGCATTTTGTTTTGAGAGTGTAGATCTAGATCAGGGCCTTCTAATTTGTCTCATCTGTCAAGATTTATTGCTCTATTCCAGTAGAGTTTAAATATAGTTGGCCAATGACTTCCAGTTGATGTTAATGCACCGATCATTCCCTTCATCGAAAGGGGGCCCAGCTAGTTAATTTATAATCTCCATAGCGGCCTCCTAGATCGTCATAACAGTTATGCTTGAGATGCTTAAGTTTACAACGCCTGGCAGTTCTGATCTTGTAATTGTGTTCAATAATGACGTTCAGGTACATTTATTTTCAAAACGCTGTTTTTTGGCTGAGATACGTGGGTAAGGATTTCCGACAAAGCAAAAATGTCCCCGAATGGGATCTTTATCATTGGATGCGAAAGTTGTGAATGGCCAAAAGAATGAGCCAAAACAGGAATAAATTATAATATTATTTGTACTCTGTTATTTAAGAACCTGAAAGAACGACAAAGTTATTATCGTCAAAGATGGCTAAGTTCAAGGGATGAAACATAGGCTAGAAGTAGAAAAATCAAATGATTCGTATTGAAACGAAGAATGTGCGAGTCTAATGAACGGAAGTAATCCTTATTGTTCTTTTGCGTAAAGAAACATCCCTGCTGAGAGCCATTAGAGTAATAGCGGGAAAAAGGACAACAGTTATGTGGCCAAACCATAATGTAGCCTACTACCTGTTTCTCGACTCACTCGCCGACTAACCATCCACTACTGAGAAATATGTTTTCACTAGATCTATAACCATGGGTATGCTCTTTAGTTTTTCCCCCCAGATTAGCAATACTTAAATAATACTTATGACCATCTGAATTTGGAAATATACATACATGTACATTGTACGTCCACTGACACAAGATCTATGTAGATCTAGATATTATATAGATCTACATGTTGTTTAAATTGTGAGTCACCTGTCATGAAAATATTATGCACAGAGACAGAAGTCGTGGAACCTCACCTCGCCCTCAACTTCCGCCACCCATCTTAGTACACACACACACACACACACACACACACACACACACACACACACACACACACTCTCTCTCTCTCTCTCTCTCTCTCTCTGTCTGTCTGTCTGTCTGTCTGTCTCTCTCTCTCTCTCTCACGCACACACACACACACACACACACACGCACACACACATGCGCATAGAAACAGGAACTTATAAAATATAACACAGCATCTACAATTGTTTTTATGGTATTCAGTGTCTCAAGTATTTAAAGAACTCATTGTCTCTGTAACTTGTGAACGCGTACCCGAAGAGGACCATCGGGTAACTTACTGTCTGCGCAGCAACACTTTTTTTCATCAGACTGAAGCCTGAGATCTACATAATCTAGCCCATGCTAGGTTGACTCATTACTTTCATAGGGATAACTAGAGAGTGCTACAGTACCGACATCCACCCATCCCATATGCCTATTCCTGGGGGTTTATAAGAATCAGATATTTTGTCGGAGGATGGTTGGAGGGTGCTCCGAGTGGTTTGCTCCTTCTTTTGTCTATAAAAAATCTACCGTCCTTATCCCTCCTCCTCCTTTTTTTGTGTTTGTTACTCTCTTGTAACACCTTTAATTTTCGGCTTTAATATGACCTTATTGTGTTGCAAGTGTCGTTAAACTTATACTAAAACTAAAAATTAAAAGCAACTAAAGGGACAGTGGGGCTGGGTAGGTGCGAGGCACAGCGTAAACCACCCACCGTTGGTACTACTTCGGGCCATTGTCAGTGGCTTTTCTGTAGATTTTGAAAAACACAACCCATCCTCTTTGTTCCACTGTCTGATCCACGCCCAAAGAGGTTATAAGCAATACTAGAGCTCACGGCAGTGACGTCACACGTGTCAGACACGGAGGCCTTCCTACCCTCATCGGCATGACCAGCGTGCCCCCATTTACATGAACAATCTGAGCTCCCGCCCTGCTCCCCACGAGCTCTAGTATAAAATATAACACCACCCAGACCCCATATTTCAGTGCAAGCTTGTAGATTCCCTCCTAAGACAGCCTAAACGCCTCCATGTGAGTCTCAAAAAGTACTGTCTCGTCTGTTTAACTTTGATTGTCTTTCCCTTGAGGTTCATGAGCGTCCCAGAGTGGGCATACGCAGCGTCTGTTCGTTTACGTGGGAGACATCACTGCCACGAACTCCAGTACTAAATTATAACTTCTTTGGAGACTTGTCTTAGATTTTGAAAAATCCAACACATCCTTATTGTTCCACTCTCTCACTGACGCCCTATTTGCAGCCTCAATGGGATCACTCGTAAAAGGGGAGCAAGTCCCCGTGAACTTCAATCTCCCTCAGAGTACCGCCATACCGGAAATAGAGAAGGCCAAGAAAACAGTTGGGAAACATCAAAACCGTATCATTGAGAATCTGAACGTTGTCAAGGTATTGTATTTATTGTGTTATGGCGTTCTATGACATCCCATACTGATCCACGGGGATTATTATCTGTCACTGATCCCATAATCCACGAGGATCGTAGAGAGGCTGTATGACAGAGAGTCTCGTCAGATACATCCACTTTTTATGTTTTTTTTGCAGGTGCCTGGGTTTGGACGAAGGATTTCCAGTCCACTCCGCAATGTCGTCAGTCCCCCATTTCCTTTGCCTTCCCCCCTTTCTCTTCCCCCCCCTCTTAAATAGCCTAATAGTGTTGATAGGGGTGTTAAACTCATACCCCCCCACCCCGTGCATAGCTCCCCGAAAAATGATCTTGGATAGGCCACACGATCTTGCTACATTGGGGATCATTATAGGGATGCTTTATTTCGATTTCCATTGTGGCTATTTATATCTACCTCCCAGCCTGCCTAATGTGTCCATTATCGTGTCGACTGGAAGTAAAATACACCTAAATGTATTTCTATTTCGCGTCAACTTGCACCTTTCATCCGGACAACCTTCCATTCAACATAAATTCGTCATTTCATTTGTTAGGGAACGAATCAAACAGCACATTCAATAAACCAACTAATGAACGTATATATAATAATATACATCCAGCAGGTCCTTTTGTATGTGTGACTGTTAGGCACTCTGGTGTGTTCTGTTCCTTTTTCTTTTATCCTGTGGTAATAATAATACTACTACTACTACTACTACTACTACTACTACTACTACTACTACTACTACTA